CTTTCCCACACTCTGCTTCATTTTCATCATTTGAAAACGTAATAGAACTATCAGCCGATTCGGCAAAATCTCATTTTCCTTTTTTATTATTTTTGTCATTTATTGAACACAAAGACTCATATAAAGCAGGGAGGTAATAAAAGCATCAGCATTTAATTTATCTGTGATCGCTACCAAGCAATCCATTGGATGATTCAAAGAATTATTATCAAGAGCTATAGCAATTTTAATTAGTTTTGCTTCTACATTTTCTCCGAATGCAGAGCTTAAAGTAATTTTCCGAATTCATCATTAGAACTATCTGGAAGGTATCGGAATTGCATATAAAAATCTGGGTTCCACTATCCAAAACACAATTTATTGCTTTCCGTTAATATAAACAATTACATATTTCAAAGGCTCAGGTCAACTTTCGGTTGTACATATTGCACTTGAGAAGTCTCTTTTTTCTCATTTTTTAATTTAGAATACTTTCTATTACAATCTGGAGCTAAATGTAACATTCTATTTTTTTATTTAACCTATTTTGTTTTGAGTTAATAAATTTGTTTTCTTTCGAATTGAGATTTATTACTTCCCGTCTCGCGTTAGGAGGGATATATTTAAAATCCTTTCGTGAGTCATTCTGATTATGACATGCTCTATGTGTAAACTCCGAAAATGATTTTCCTTTACAAGCATAAAACATGTCACACTCTTTTCCCATTTGAATTGGTTTGAACCAATTTTGCTCTTGTTTTATATTTATATGAACGGTAGTTTCATTATCTAATGTTTCATATAGTTTATCGCTAACAATTAACTCCTTTAAAGAATTAAAATCATTTACATTTCTCAAATTACAGTATTGATCCCAATTCGTTAACAAACGAGATGCCAACTGAACATGCGTTTCATTTGGCATTCGTTTCGCTTTTTGAAACTTTTGCAAGCAAATTAAAGGTGTTGGCTCAAATTCTCTTAGAACTAAACTTTTTAATTTATTATAGTCGCTTATTTCTTCGTCTTTTACATAAACTAAAATATTTTCGGCCTTTTCTCCTAGCAAATTTAAAAGAATCTCTCCTTTAAATTCATCCGGCACATTTTTGGTTTTAAATGAACGTTCTAAAGAAGAGAAAAATAAATTCCACCCCTCTTGTTTTTTAGGAATCGGAAGAGTTAAAGTACGAACACTTAGAATAAAATTTTCTATCGAAGTTTGCTTTGTTTCGGGATTTGTATGCTGCAACTCATTGCTATCCCTTTGACTTTCCAATTTTGCCCTTTTTAAATTTATTTTTCCCAATTCTATTTCCAGTTTAACTTTTTCCAGATTTATTTTTTCAAACTCAAGTCGCGATTCTGTCGTTACACGCGCTTGCTCTTCCTTTGATTTTCTGTCCGAAATAATCGAATCTCTAAATAGTCATCAATAAACTCTTTATTGTTTTTATATTTGTCTCTCTCTCGCTATCTAAAATTAAATTTTTCAAATCTAACACTCTCATTTCTGGGGTTATTTCCTCACCCAATTCATCCGCAATTAATATTAATTCTTCCTTTCTAGCTCCACGAAACATGATTAGAAAGAATTATTCTAAATGAATTAATCAACCCAGAAAATTTAGGAAAAAAAAAACCTTGCTGAATTCGCTCAAAACGATACAAAAGGGTTGCCTACCTCGTGGTTCCTTTTGATGTCTTGACTCCCTCAGGCGTTCTATATCCTACCGACTGCGCCAATGTGATACGTTGAGGTAAAATGTATAATGTTGTTGTAGTTTCCCAACAGACGTATTCTTAAGGACAGCACTTTTATTTAATATAAACATGAAAATTTTATAATTAAAGGACCCACGCGGGTAATGTTTCAAAATGGCCTCCGACCTAACGCGCCGGTGCCGAGAGTCTCTCTCTTCTTATAAAAAAAACACATTCTTACCGGAGGGGAGCACAGTGCGCCTCCTGGTGAAGGAAGGAAACACTACATATACATTTCGACGTTCTCTCGAAGTTCTCGTCCTGCCTTTTCTCACTTCTTCCACTCCTACATGTTGCCATTCAGCACCAACTGAACTTAGCGTTCCTATTGCGCCCTCTCACCAAAAGATGCTAGTTCTTCCGTCCTTGAGTGGGTTAGTCCTTCAGGCCTTTACACAAGTGTCGTACATAGCCGTCACTTGAAGATAACCGTAGGTTAAAATTAAGAGGTCCATCTCTGAAGGGCCCCATGTTGCTTTAAAGAAGAAAGAAAGATTAATTAAGAAATTATTAATCAATTAATGAAAGCAATTTCTAAATTTTATAATCATGCAGTTATGATAATCACTCAGAATATTATGATACACTTCAGATCATTCATTTTTTTTCATTGTAAATAAATTTTAATAAATTTAAAGATTTATCGGTTTCAGAAAACTGAGCTAGTTAACTAATTACTGTTTTCGGTCACTAATTGCTTAATCCTCAGGGCATATAAATCATGTTACAAATCTAAACCACAGGGTCTTTTAATAATATCATTTCAAAATACTAAATTAATGTCCGAACAAGGGTGCACACAAGGAGGGGGGGATCTAAATGTCCGAACCCTCAAAAGCCCTTGATGTTTATTTTATTACTATTGATGATACTCTTATGTATATAGTACGTAAAATTTAATTGAGGGTTTGTTGTTAACAATTTACTTTATTAATTAATACTAATAAAGAATTCAATAATTTATTTTTTAGTCTTTCATGTTCCTAAAATCGACAAAATCAAAAGAATGTTTGGCGACATAATAAGGTACGAGACGAGTGGTTTGAACGTATGATAAACAAGTAATACACTCGGGAACATTGAAAATAGCGATCCAAGAAGGAAGCAAAGTACAATCACGAAACTTTGCAAATAAGTACAGCGTAATGTGATATGCAAATGATAAACGTTTTGTGCCAATACGCATGCTCATACACGCCAAGGTGGTGCTACAATCAGGAAGAGGGTCTATATAATCTAGCGCAAATTTGAAGATTCATAAACGTGACGATTACCCGCCAATTGTAGGAAGACTTTGGTAAGCAAAACATGCCAGGTAAACGTGCTAAAAGACATTTCTCACAGTTAAGCGAGTTTGAGAGAGGCCTGATCATCAGGATGAAAACTGCAGGCTGGTCGACGCGCCGTATTGCTGGCCAGGTGGATCGTTCGGAGCGTGCCGTTAGAAATTCTTGAAAGAAGTGGACACGAGAAGGTACCCACGAGCGGAAAACCGGATCTGGAGCGACCAGAAAGACCACGAGAAGAGAGGATCGAAGAATCGTGCGGCAAGCACTTGTGGATCCCACAGTAACTCGTTCAACGATAGGAGTAGACTTAGGAGTAGCAATTGTTCCACAAACAATTTCCAGACACCTTGCAGAAGCAAATCTTAAATCCAAGCGCCCTTTCCATGCACTCTCTTTAACACCGGAACATCGGCAACTGCGTCTACAGTGGTGCCAAGCCAGATCTATGTGTAATGTCTCAGATTGGCAAAAGTTTGTGTTTAGTGATGAACCCCGGTTTGTTTTGGGGACAGATAATAACCGTGTACGTGTGTGGAGGCTCCCTGGTGAGCGGTACAACTCTGCCCACATTGTTCTACGTCACACTGCCAGCACAGCTAGTGTAATGGTCTGGGGGGGGGCATAGCCTATGATAGCCGGTCCACTTTAGTTGTGATGCGCGGTACCTTAACGAGCCAACGTTAAATTGATGATATTCTTCGACCCCATGTAGGACCTTTCCTAAATGGTCTCCCAGGGGTAATTTTCCAGCAAGATAATGGTCGTCCGCATACAGCAAGAGTTGCTCAAGACTTCCTACGTCATGTTCAGACTCTTCCATGGCTGGCCCGCTCCTCCGATTTGTCCCCTGTAGAGCACGTGTGGGATCAGCTAAAACGGCAGATGCCATCGTATTACTCTGTACATCATTTAGAGTTGGCTGTTTAAGGTTTGTGGGTTCATCTGCCTCAGGACAACATAATGTGTCTAATCAACTCAATGCCGGATCGTGTGGCGGCATGTATTACAGTTGGAGGTGGTCCTACGCGCAATTGAAGTTGCCCAGTATTTGTGTCGTTGCACACCCTGTATTCGTTCAATTGTCTTGTTTTTGAGATCAAATGAATCTCTTATCTGTGTCATTATGTGTATTAAATTTCATTTCAATCCGACGCTTTCTTCTTGGGTCGCGATTTAGGGAGGCACCTGAGCTCCAACAAGGCGAAATTTTTTTAGCAATTTAATTATGCCGAGAACACCCAAGCCCTACAGGGATCATGCTCTACGACCTTTAACATGCAGCATAATCATACGACATGAACACTGCGATTTTCGGCGTCGTAAAACTCCTTTGACTAAAGCCGAGATCGAACCCCCAAACGTGAATGTATATGACCAGCATCTAACCCGCAACGTCCCCAATAGTCTAGAACTAAAATATAAAAAGAAGAATTATATACCTAATTATATACCTCCTATCCATTCTTCGAAAATTGTGAGAGAGATCATATTTGTAAAATCATTTTTATCCTTGAAGTATGAATCATCCACACATTATTAAATGAAACTTAAATGATTTTGTTTTCTTTTAAGCAGGAAAACACTAATTGGCGAAATAAATATGTGATTTTTTTTAATCCTACACCCATCTTCGGCATCTCTGTCATTAGTCGACAAGCAGCCCAATAAAATGATGACGAAGCAAAAAAAAATCAAAACTTGCAAAAGAAACTACAAAAAACTTAAAAACAATGGAGCAGTTTCTGAGGTGATCACCATCCATTTCAATCTGGTGGAATAGAGAGCAACAAGCAGAATCCTTTACTCCAATGCGATATAAATACCTCTGCGAATAGTCATATACAGTAAATAAACGAAAGCACGCAACTACAACAGATCATGGCAGGGAATTGAGAATTCAACCACTTTTGTTAAGTAAGATGTTCCACCTTTTACCTGCAGCTGCATCACCATACTGGGAGATTCTAGTCCCTCGTGGTCTAGTGGTTAGGATACCTAGTTCTCATCCACGATACCTGGGTTCGATTCCCGGCGAGAGAAGTGTCTTTGGGGAGCTGAATTCAGTCACGCGCATATTCACGTGTTGCATCTTGTTTGAACTAAACGACTGATAACTTATCGCCTTATAGTAGCCCTTTTTGATGAAGAAGTAAAGTGTAAGATTTGGTGTGATTTTTGTGAGATATATGAATAAATATTGTGAGAACAATAAAGTGAGCCCGTTTTCCGAATTAAACATTTTTCTAAAGTTTGTCATGCTATTTATTAGATTATTTCCTCATGATCTAATCATGGTCCGTATTAGATTGCACAATTTACTTTTTGATGTCACTACATTGGCTATTTAAAGTAATTTTTAAGCTTTTGAGTTCAAATTTCGAGAATGGAATAATGTTATCATAAGACAAAGAGGAAACTATTAAATTTTAAAAGGCAAGTAAAATTATCCTTTGACCCAAATTTCCATTGGCATTGTTAAAGATATTGCATAAGGGATAGGGTCATTTTTTGATATTCTAACGTACCCAAGGGGTTGTAGCGGGGAAATGTAAATTATTCTGTTCTTATCTTTATTGCATCGAAAAATAAGGGTAAATTCAATTTCCTTTTTAAAATGGAACCAAACAATTTAGGTGGTTGAAAATGTTTTTAAGGGAAATGTGTTATTTTATTTCAAACATCTGTACGTTGATACATCTTTTTTTACTTATAAGACACAATCTCAATCATTTTAACATTAAAGAAAAGTAACTTCTTACTGCATTCTTAAGCATTATAATAAAATTTTAAAAATTGCATGCTGAGGAAATAATTAAAAAATCTTTCTATTGCACATTAAATTTATTTTTATTTCAATTATTTTATATAAAAGAACCAAATCGCCTTTTTTTCTTAAAAGAATTATTTAGTTAATGTAATTCAAATCAAAAAATAATATTTTACTTTGTTGAAAATTGTTCTATTAAATATTTACCTTGTGGGGTAATCTACATTTTAAAAGTAAGATTCGTATATCTTTCAAAGGAAAGGTAAAAAAAGGTTTTGAACGCTATTGAAAACGATATCTAAAAATTATGTTAACTATAAATGAAACTCAATTTCATTACTTTTCCAATTATTACTGAAAAGGATTATTTTATTTCTTGGATAAGAGTATTCTGCTTTTTGACGCTGTGACAAAATCCATCTGTTTACTTAGCACAAATACGCTCTAAAACTGGATTTATAATGTATTAATGAGAAGAATATTATACGCTATAGAGCAGTACTTCACAGACTTTCAATATTAGCGACCCAATTTTCTATCATAATTTTCTCCACGCTCGTCTCCCTTATTATGACAATATATTGAATGCAATAATAATATATATATATACTTTTATATTCTAAAGCTACAATACTACCTTATTTATATAAACCGTATAAATTATTAATATAACAATCAACTTTTGAATATGTTACTCGTAAGAAATATATAAGTTACTTTTTAGTAATAGAGAGGATAAATATTATGTTACTTCTTGTTCAGAATGCATTTTGTTTTGCTTGTTGTTGTCGTGTGTCTCAAACTGGTATACATATGAAATACGAGAGATTGATTAACAGAAACCTTCAGTACAAACACAGAAGAATATAGAATGTTTATTACACAAACGATGATCCCAGAACTGAACAAAAGAAGTGCGTTGCTTTCCTTTAGAGACGGGAATCCATTTCAGGCGACAGTCCGACTTCTTTTCCCGAATGAGATACAACCATGCTTTACTCGGGATTCGAAGCCGAACCGACTTGATTACAAGCCGAGTGAGATATCCACCTTACTGGGTTGCTTCCTTGCAGTAAGTTAATATTTTCTTTAAAATAATCTTTTATTTTCGATATGCTAGCATCCCCCAAGTAGGGTTATCATACCCCCTAGGGCTGCGTGCCTCACAGTTAGAGAAATGCTGAGGTAGAGAGATTCATTTAAAATAAGTTTAAGGGTACTAACTTCTCGACTTTTATCAAGGGTAGACAAAATATAAGTGCCATTATTCATCTCACTTATAGAATTTTATCAGGATGACAGTGAATTAATTAACATAGTGAATTATCTTCTTAAAAAGTATGTCATCGTTGGACGTTTTGGAATTTTTTAGACTTCGAAGAAAAGTGCTTTAAATGCGGAATTTAAGGTGAAGTCAAGGGATAAAATTGTTTTAAACCCAAAGTTCTGTCTGGGACCTGTCTCAAAAAATAAGCAACAAACAGAAAAAAGGTAAGAAAAAGGAAAACTGTGAATTGAAAAGCAATGAAATTTTGACGGGTTGTTAAACAGAAGAAAAGCAATGTCGCGCAAAATAACAGAGGAAAACAATGATTAATTTTAAATAAAAAGTATAAACTATAATATCCCTAACGTGGGATAAATAAAAGTTTAGTTTCAGAACATTAAAGGGAGTGTGGCCATCTCTGCTGGAGGTAATTGCTCGACAGGGACTTGATTGATACCTACAAGCAGGCAGTCAATTGCATTTTGTGGGATCTGTGTCCATTCTCAGAGAAGACATTTTGTCAAGTCATGCAAATTTCGGGAATGAGTGTACAAAAAAGAAAGATGACATCTGCCTTATTGGTTCAAGTCGGACAAACATGCTTCCAATTCTATTCGAAGCATTGCTTCACGTTCCACGTTCTGGTTGACAACACGAGCCTTATGTAATCGTGTATTATCATTCATGAGCACAGTCTGAACACCCTTAGTATCCAGATATGGACGAACATATAGATCCAGGATTGCATCCCATAAGTAATTGCTGTCACTGGTTCATAACGAAAGACACGGAGATCAGTTCAACCACCAATTGATATTCCTGCCCAAACCAAGACACCAACACAACTGCTTCTGTGTCTTTTAATGATGTTATGAGCTTAAGATAAAAAAAAAGTTCTTGGGCTTCCATCGGGAATCGTTGCTTATATAAAGTCGAGAGTCATCGGTAAGCAATGCATTGGCTCATTCCTATGATATCCAATTGATGTGGTCCAGAGCTCCCTGTAACCGAGCTCTTACGTAAGACAACGTGAATGGCACCTTATATGATGGTCGTCTGGAATGTAGATACATTTCGTGCAGCCATTTGTAAACAGGCGGGATATTACTGTCTGATGACGTCGAAACGCTCAAAGTATTTGTCGGGTTGAACTAATCCGATGATACAGAACCTGCAGACACAGATAATGATCCTCAAGGATAGTTGTTAAGCTAGAACGTCCACTACCAGGTCTTCACGACATTGCATGTTTTGTGATTTTGATAACGATTCCACAAGTGGCTAGTGATCAAATTATTGACATTTAAAGCTAGGGAAATCTCCAATAATCGTTCCACAGAAGGATTCCATCCAATTGCTTACCATCGTACGTTTTCACTCAATTGCCGTTGATGACAGATTTTCAGTAACTTGGTACAAAGAAATGAAGAAATGGGCCTCAAGCAAACACAATGAAAGAAAAGGAAAATTCTGAAATGAGCATGTTTATGTAAATGTTACATAACACAGCCCTATGTGTGGTTAGGCAAACATGTTAATGCGGAGCTACTCTCGCATTTCACTGTAAGTAGCATTTCCAGATTTTGTTGCAGTAGCCTTCTTTCTTCTCGAGTTATGTTAATTTAATTTTTTCTTGCTTATTTTTTGCGACAGTGTGAATCAAAACATAGCGTCATTAACTCATTACTACCTTTCTCAAGTTCATTTATTTTAATATATTTGCGCAACATTTTTACAACAAATTGCTTGAGATTTTCTAAAAGTATTCTATATATTTTAATATTGTTTGCAACGTTTCTTGTAATTATGGTTTGCCTTCAATTAGCTCTTTAATCAGAATCTATTCAATAGAACGGATTAAACACTTTAAGGAATGCATTATTCTGAAACACCAAAATGCTTATATACAGTAATAAGAGAGTATTTCAATTTTATAATATACTAGCTGGTATACCCATTCTTCGCACGGGTGAATTTAAAAATTAAAAAATACAGACTGAAGGATAAAGAAGTTTTTAATGAGTTTTTATGTGAATTGTATAAATTAAACACACAAAAAAAAGCTTTTTACATAACTCAGCTGAACGAAAAAACCATGTTTGCTAAATTTTAAGTCTTTAGATATAATTGCTGATTTTTTAATTATTGTTATTATTATTTATGACGCCCGTAACTTTCTTGTGGGTCGATTTTTGAAAACACCTACCTGCTCAGCAAAAGTAACACATTGTTACAAGTTTTGTGTAATAAACGCTAAAATTAGTGTGAATAATTTTTATCTGGATGTGTGTGTAATACGTTAATATTACTTTCTGATGCATTTATATTATGTTAAATAGCTGTTACCAACGACTTCGTCCACGAGGAATTTAACAAAAAAGTGTTTATTCACTTGGCAGAGTTTACGAAAACTTTTCTTCTACTTTGTGAATCTATGTTTCTTTTTTGTTTTATTTTTTTTCTTTGCTTTTTGTTGAGCAAGAGGTTAAAGGGACGCATGACCTTTGACACTGTCGATGGGTAAGGACTAAAATCTTTAGGATCAAAATAGCTATAAGTAGCAAGTAGGCGAACACAAACGAAGCCGCAAGGGACGCATGACCTTTGACAATGCAGTTAACGACTGTAAAATCATTAGGATCAAGACATGAATGGGAAATGTGGAGAATGGCAGCAACCTAATCAAATAAAAAAGTTGGATATAACTGCTAGTAATCGTTGAGACCGAAGGCTCGCGAAATAAAATAATTCCTGTTAAATAAAAATAATCCCTATTGAATAAAAATAGTCCCTATTGAAACAAATAATCCCTATTTGAATCGGATATTGCTCACTATTTCATTGGTTTTAATTTTATTTTCGCGAAACCTAATTTTTTTTTCTATAATTAAAGTAGCCGAAGTTATTCCTTATAACATTAGCTATCTACCAGTGAAAGTTTCGTCAAAATTGGTCCAGCCGTTTCAGAGATTAGCCCAAACAAACAGATGGACAGAAAGACAGACA